ATAAATAAATGGGTTGTAATTCAAACCTAGAATTTTTAGGAGATGGAGAAGGAGATCGAGGGGTGGCAGTGGCAGTGGCAGCGGCGACGGCGAGGGTGAGAACTGGACGGCGAGGGGGAGGGCTGGACGGTGAGGGGGAGGTTTGGGAGAAGGAGAAAGGGGAATGAAGGTTTAGAGTGAATAAGAGGGAAAAATTTCAGAGAAATGAGGGTTTCCCCCGTTTTTTACTTCTCTGATTTTAGAATTACCGACCAAAGTTGGTCGGTAATTTTGGTCGGTACATTAAGTGCTGACCGTTTGACCAAAAACCGACCAACTTTGATCGTTTTTTTTTAAAAATTTAAATTCTTTAACCGACCAACGTTGGTCGGTAATTTTAAATATAAATTCTTAAATATTATAAAATATTTTAAATAATAAAATAATTATTAAAATTTAAAAAATTGGATCTAGATTACCGACCAACGTTGGTCGGTAATCCAAAATTTTCTTGTCTGGCCAGCTTGGTCAATTCGTTGACCAATTTACCGACCAACGTTGGTCGGTATTTAGTTTAAAAAAAATGTAAATGTTTTTTTCCCCAGTTTTCGTCCAATCTGGACTGTTTTTGGTCGTATTTTTTGACCGACCAACGTTGGTCGGAAATAGTTGATCGATTTTTAGCAGATTTTTAGTAGTGTGTTGAGTACAACTAGGTTCCAAGTGGTTGTACTGAACACAGGTATGTTCGAAATGGTTGTGATGCGCACATGCAACTAGGTTTCAAGCAGGGGCGGCCCAACCCTAAAGCAAGTGAAACACTTGCTTTAGGCCCCAAATATTTAAGGGCCCCAAAATTATTAGTATTTTTCTATATATAGTAATATATTATTTATATAATTATCTTTTATTATTGATAAATTTATTTCTTTATTGTCATATTAATTTTTAATAACTCGATTTCTTCCTCTAATTAATATAACTAAAATAGTTTTCTGTCAATCTTATTTTATTTTTTTTACTTAATTATATTTCTCTATTCAGTAGTTGGTCACGTAACTATATCTAATAATCTAACTTATTATTTATTTTCCTAACATAAATTATACTCTCTCCGTCCCAATTTATATGAAAGTATTTGACTGGACATGGATTTTATGAAATAAAGGAAGACTTTTGAAACTTGTAATCTTAAATAAATCATAGAAGTTTTTGGGCTAGAAATCATCTCATTAATGGTAAAAAGAAAAATCTAAAGTTGAATTGTTACCAAATATAGAAAGGGACTTACTAAAAAAAAGGAGTCACTTATGTTTTCTGGGTTCTCCCATTTCAGTTGTGATGCAATCAACGTTAAATTCATTTAATTTTCTGTATTTTATAAAACTAAGTTCTCATTTTTTTTAATTCCACATCATCACTTGTCTAATTTTTTTTAAAACGATGTTCATTAAATTATATATATATATATATATATATTAAGGCCTCTTATTAAGATTTTACTTTAGCCCTCCGATGAGGTTGCTGGTTTCAAGTTACATTGTTGATCACGACTAGCTAAGTTCTAAGTGATCATGCTGACCATAGGTAGGCTCCAAGTACCGTGGGGAGCAAGAATAGTTTCAAGTAGCCTTGCTAAGTATGCATAGGTTCCAAATAGCCGTACAGAGCACAGTTAGGTTCCAAATAACTATGCTAAGAACATGATAGGTTCCAAGTACTAAGCAAGGGTAAGTTCTGAGCATCCATATTCATGCTATGCACGGACACTTTAAGTATTACTCCCTCCGATTCATAATAAGTGACCTTTTGGCAGTGGTAGAGCCACCTTATTGACACCCATTCGCGTGAAAAATATACTGTGTAGTTAGGTAAAAAAATAAATTATATGTAAATATACTATGTATTGACTCCTCTTAATTTTCTGGTACATTTACTTTTATATATTTTGATATCCCTTAACGAAAATTCTGGCTCCGCCACTACCTTTTGGCCTTTGGCACACCCTTAAAAAAATAGTAACTCCTAGAAAAAAATAGGTATTTTGAAAAAATAAAGTTAATTACTTCTTTATTATGTAAAAGATCACTTATTTTGAACGGAAGAAAAAATGTCAAAAAGTCATTTATTATGAACGGGAGGGAGTACTAACCATTAAAGCATAAAAACTATTATCAGCACATTGTGACCCTTTTCAACATTTAATTTCCTCATTAAAGCTTAGGTAAAGGCCAATTTTCAGCTAACTTTACATTAAATTTATGTTCTACATGAAGTAGCTCACGCATTTAATACCGACATCCATCCATTAGCTCTTAATGCCCCGTTTCATGATTTTATGTCTACTTTTGCAAATGACAGCTTGAACCTTATAGCCAGTATTTCAAAGATACAGTTATAGACGGACAACTTTGGGATAACACTTTATAATAACACACACAACTTTGTAGCTGTGTGATATTAGGAGATCATGAGAAGTGAGATTAAACAACAGCCTCTTCTAAAATATAATGCACACTTTATAATAAACCAATGTGATCCGACTCTTTCTTTCTAAGACCCTATGCATATATAGCGAGAACTCAATGCATTCGATGCAAGGGGCAGATTTAGGGGGGCGGAAGGAGGTTCACCCCAACCCCTTCGCTACATATAAGGCAAAATCTGTTTTGTGCCTATTATATTTTAAATCCCCTTAACACACCCGAAAGTATAGCTCCATATGGTCAGAGTGGTTCAAAACCTTAGTAAGATCGCTAATTCAATTCCCACTAGCCATGGTCTTTTTTAACTTTTTGTCTTTTGAACCCCTTAGCCGAATTCCTACGTCCGCCATTGTTCGCTATTTTTAATGCCTACATGGCTAAATTACATTGTCAATTGTCACCATCATAATTATAATAGGAGGATATAAACAGAGTTGCATTCGTACCAATGATCTGAATAATGATCAAGTATACATCCATACATACCAAATATTTTAAAAAATAAAAGTGCGGATCAGTGACGGAGCTAGAATTTTCATTAAGGAGTGTCAAAATATATAAAAGTAAACTTACCAAAAAATTAAGGGAAGTCAATACATAGTATATATACATATAAAATTTTCTTTTTACCTACGTACACAATATAAGGTAGTTCCGCCACTGTTGCGGACATGAACAAAAGATTTCTGCATATAAGACAACCACTTTATCAAAGAAGGAACTTCAATCTCTTTGCTACCATATCTTACGAGTATATAAATATATCGTGTTCTGTAACTTACAAGACAATGTATCTCTCTCTATATATCTTTACAAAAATCGTCTAACTCAGGTTTACATGGATATGTTAAGGTCAATACGAGGTTTTTTCATGCTTAGCACAGGCAATATTGGAACAATTGTATCGCATCGCGGACATCTTGGATTGGTCCTTGATATCAGCACGTAAAGGAGACAACTTGGACAACCAGAAGCAAATGAATTCATGTCGTACTGATTAGTAATATCTGTATCCTTGATTGATGATATTGAAGAATTTGAAGTAGGAGATGATGTGATAGACCTGAGTACTACTGATTCTGGTACGGAGCGCTTCCTCTTTAATGATTCCTTCTCTGCCCTTTCTAAAGCAAATTTTACTTTTTCAAGGGTGCACACACTATGATTATAACCCGATGACGACGACGACGATAGTAGTTTTAGGTCTAACTTGGTATCCTCAAATAGACTGAGAGGAAAGTTGAGATCTTGAAACTTTCCAACTGTTTGATATTTTGGTTGCTTATTCATTGATGAGAAATAATTTGAACAACTTTTCTTTTGTAGATACACTTTTCCTGACTGTTGCAAATTAATTTCACCATATCAATATCATTAATTATTCATAATCCAACCATATAAATAAAACTATAAAATTAAATGATTGATTACTGCAAATATTTTTGTTATTTTTTCGTACTTGATAAATGCTTGTAATAAATACCTCTAGCAAAATTTAAGTACGTACGACAAATATTTACCGAAGCGGTACGTTAATGCAAAAGAAACAAAGAAGAGAATTATACACGTTAAGTCCATGAAAAAGAAAAGGAAAAAAAACAAAATCAAGACTTAACACATACTCCATCATTCAACTACACAGTACACCTTTAACAAAATAATTAAGGTCAGTTATACGAAATTTATGTAACCATAATCTAGGTTTCTTTTTCACTATGTTGTTTTTGTTCCTTATAAACAAAGACACAAACAGATGTTATTCATCGCCTTCATTTGTACTCCCTCTTGTTCAATTTAGACGATACATTTTCTTTTTATCGAAAGTCAATTTGACTCAACTTTGAAGCTAAATTGGATTAATTCAACTCAGTAATTTAAAATTAAAATTTAAAAATTATACAAAAAGTTCTATAAGTTATAATTTTTCTCATGTTAATATGATTAAAAAATATATTTTAAAATATTGATCCAACTGATAAACGGAGAAAAAAATACCTTCAAGTCGAGGCGCTTTTCCCAGCCAGAAGGAACCTGCAAGTCGAGGTCCAACTCCTTTGAATCAAGGGTTGAACATCCGCCGAGCAAGTTCCGAGTGATCAGGGCCGTTGATTCTACTGCCATAGCTTAACCAAAGAAAAGATATATTTTTTTAAGAAAAATATTGTAAGTATGTAGAAGGACAGAAGAGAGAAGGGGTTTGAAAGAATATTGAAACAGAAAGAGAGAAACAGAAAGACAAAAAGAAGAGTTGGGAAAATGGCTAATAAATAAACGTGAAGAAAGAAGTAAATGGAGCCCGTTATGCATAAAAGGGATAATAATGAGTTTATAATATAGTCAGAGGGGACGCACATGTTAAGTTGATTGAAATTACTTCGAGAAAAACTTTATATATAAATGTTTTAAAAAAATAATCACTTTAGCATAAGTCCCCGTACCAATTATTATTAGCAATGATAAATTTATATTGGGTGTCATGATAGCCCCGGCGACCGTCGAATTTGGGTCCGCCTCTGAATACAGTAGTAATAGTCATAATTGGGGTGAATTTAATTATAGTATTTTTGGTACTTCCCGTTTATTTTTACTTATCTACTATACTAAAAATATATTTTTATTTTTATTTATCAATTTTAACAAATCAAGAGAAGCCAATTTTTTCTCCTGTTTTATTCTTATCGTTAACTACCTATTCTTCAAATAATTTCTCAATTTTTTTAAAAATATAATTATTATTATGAATATTATGGTAAAATATATAATTCATTTAGACGAGTAAATTGAACGGGAGGAAGTATATAGTATTATGCAAGTGGATTCAGATTTGATATGAGTTGAAAGGAGAGGGGTGGG